ATTAATTTTACATATGCCCAAAGGTCATAGATGATTTTAGGTATTTCAAGTACTATTTTTCTATATGAGTCTTCACCAATGGAGAAAGATGGTGCTGTTCTTTTAGTTTCATAAGTCTTGGGTTCGAATTCCCACCTTGGCTTTGATCCATGAGGGATGTTCTCTTTGCTTTGCCTTACACAGAGATTCATGCAGTATCTCTTCACTTTGAAATGTCCCAAGTTCAGGAATTTTTAATTGCCTAATTTCAATTGTTTCATTTAGAGTCGATTCATATTGCAGTCAAATATTTCATTCACTTTTTCTTACTATATTATATCCTTCTTACTATTTAATACACTCTGCTCCTAAGTTACCTACTGAGTGTTTTTCTTATGTATGTGGTTTATACCAAGTTGAACTTAGTAATTAGTGTCAGTGATGAGAAAAAGTACAGAAAATATAATATTTAACATAATACAGATTTTCACCATGTTTCTAAACTTATTTTCATGTGCAGTGTCTGAGATTGCATCCAGGCGGATACAATTCCAGTGCTGTGAATTGCAAATTTTTTCTGAACACACACTCACACTTATACTCACCCCCCTCCCCAGAATAACACATTGCAGTTTTGTTGAGAAAATGTTTTTACTAGGAAATCTGATAACTTGTCCAGATCATTCTTGCTGCTCATGATGTTTACACTGTGAAGTTAATACTCAGCCTGTCTCCTGTAAGACACACAGGCAGGTAGCACCAACCACAACCCTAACATTTAAATCGATCAATAAATCAATTATTCTTTCACCTCAGTGCTAATTAGCTTTTGTCCAGAACTTGGTCAGATAGCCATTCCTGGTACAAGGAGAAGTTGGTAAAGGTAATATCTAGATCTTTTTTGCCTCTATGCTTAGAGGTAGACAACAGTTTGATTGGAAAATTCTGAGCAGCCACCTAAGCATAGCTATGTGGTCTGCACAAATCTGACACTTTTAGCTTACTGTCTTTTGTTGATTTAAAAAAATAGAATCTCCACCACAGTCCTAATCCAATGCAGAGTATGCTGAATTTATATTAGGATTTAAATTAGAATTTGTCTTGCCCAGTTTAGGCTGCTAAAAATATATTATAGATTGAGTGACTTAAGCAATGAACATTTATTTTTCGCAGCTCTAAGCCAGTGTCTGGTGAGAGTTCCTAGTTTACAGATGTCTTCTTGTTGAATCTTCACATGATGGAGAAGAAAACTCTCATCCTTGTACTCCCAGGACACCTATCCTGTCGTAGGAGCTCCTCTGTCATGACTTAATCTAAGCCTAATTCCTTCTCAATGTCTCACTTCCTAATACCATCTCATTAGAGGCTGGGGGTTTCAAAATAGCAGTTTTAGGGGGAAACAAACATGCAGTTCTTAAAAGGATTCTTCACCCAAAATGATGAATTTTAATTAAAATTAGCTCAGTTTTTCTAAAAGATAGGGTAATGATAGAAGATAAAGAACAGAATAGACCTATTGGCCCCATAGACCCATAAGCCAATCTGGGTAATCAATTTCTCTACTTAGAATGGAGATGTCTCTATTGTCATAATTTGACATGGAGCCATAGTTGGTTCCACTTTACCCAGATCTTAGCAAATGCCACCTTGACAGAGCAGCCTTTCATCTTGACCCAGCAGTCAGTGTCTTTCTCGGTATCATGATTCATACCTGTATCCTTTTCGTAGTACTTATCAGTTTTTAACAAGATCTTATTTTATAAAGGGCTTTCTTGAGGTCTATTTGATAAACAAAACCAGAAACCAAGAAACCTGCACCCTAGCAATATATGCAATTTCAAGTTGAGCATCTGCTATACATGTCCATGTTACCATATTGATGGGATCATATCATTTTTGGGAGATGAGCTTAATTTTTAATATAAAGGTATGGACAGATAAAGTGGACCTCCATGAACCTACTACTGATGTACTGGGGCCCTTCTCTGAGCCAACACATATAGCAGCATAGAGGAAGTAGTCCCTTGTGACCAGCTGATGGAAGAGGAAAAAAGACATAGTTTGTAGGTAATTGCTTCAAGCAGAAAACAGATTACTGTTGTATTATAGCACATGCAGTAGCTCTCCTGCAAAACAGCAGTTACATGAAACTCTCCACTGGGTATCACTTTTCTAAATACAACTGGTACTGCAATTACTTTTCTGTTGAAAGAAAGCTTGACCAAGGTAAAAGTTCATGGTAGAAACAAATGGCCTGGATGGTTGGACAGTGTCCTGAAAAAGAAAAGATGAGGGATTATGGGATAAGGACTTTGGTTGAAAAGATATGTCAGTTTACCTTTGAGTGGATCTCAAAGGTGAAGATCTTTGTAAGTATGTTCTACAACATCGAGCGAAGCCTAAAGCCACAGATAGTACTAAATTCTACTTATGCAATGTTTTTATCCTACACACACAGTCACAATAAAGTTGAATTCATAAATTAGGCATAGCATAAAAGATTAATAGCAACAACTAATAGAATACAACATTTATAACAATATACTGTAACAAAATTGCCAGAATCACCATTCTGTCTTTTGGGGCCATCGTTAAATAAAACAAGGGTTACTTGGACACAAACACTGTGATAGTGTGACAGCCAGTCTGAAAACTGAGAAAATTAACTCCTAATTAACTAGCAGACACCTAATATATACAAGATACACTGGACAAAGAGATGATTTACATCACATGGGCCCAGAACCATGCAAGATGTCCTCATACAGCTCAGAAAAATGCAGAATTTAACACTTACAAATTATTTACTTCTGGAATTTTCCATGTAATATAATTGGAGCATGTTTGATGATGGATAACTGAAGATGTGGAAAGTTAAACCATAGAAAAGAGGGGACTGCTATCTTGCATTTAACACTCACAAGCAGGATCCACCCTGGAAACAAGTTAACAAATTAACTCAACTGTTTAGCATTGATCAGTATCTATTATCAACCACCTCAGCTCTGGCACAGTGGATTCATAGACCAAATAGGGATGTGACAGAGATGTGAGTTATGCACAGGCCTAAAAACCTGGCCTGCCACTTACTGAGACTTATTTTAACTACTGCTTCCAAATGCCCAACCTATCATGGATAGAAATAAATGGTGTTAAAACATCACACCTCAAAGAGACTGTGACTGTTAATCACATATGTCAACTTGAATGGATTAATAAACTTCTAGCAGATTAGAAAACTATGATTTAGGGTGTGCTTGTGGATGATTGAAATGTAGGTCAGGAAACCGAGGAGAGAAGACCAACTCCAGTTGTGAGTCGCACCAACCAATAGGTTTGAAGCCTGGATGGAATAAAGGGGGAAGAAGCAGGAAGTGAGCCCATCTGAAGAGCTCTAGTCTTTCCAAACAAGTGCATCCTTTGTTACAATTCCCTTTGGACATTAGTCTTCAGGTTTCCAGTTTCTTCATCTAAAACAGACCTATACCAGAGATTATCCAATGAGCTTATAGGCCTCCAATCTTGAGCTGGTGCTATCTTTTTAGTCCTTTTTTGAAGCTTCCATCTTCTTGGCCTGAGCAGCTACTGGATCTGACAGTGTACTCATATGACCACTGTGATCTCTCCTGCCTCCGATCCTGTAATCTTCTTAGTAAATTCCCTTGCATAATTATGCATATTTTTCTATTGATTCTGTTCCTCTAGAGAATCCTAACCAATACAGAAATCAACCAGGCAGTTGGTTGACTACATTGGAACAGAAAAGGCAGGGATTTAGCTTAACTAGATGATGTGGATTTGTATCTCTTGCCAACTGGGCCATTGCCAGGATTGTTATCGAAACATTTACAGAGCATTTGATCTGTTAACTTAGAATGTTTTGCAGCACTGCCTCAGCACAGTACAAAGGGCTTATTGAAGTCAAAGGAGATGCAGGTGTAGACACATGAATCATTAATCCTCATACATTTCCCACCATCCTGATGCTTCCAGCCTGATAGGGTGATAAGACAGTAGCCTTTTAGAAGTGAAGCTGAGGTGCCGCCTTGAAACTGATATCCTGGGAAGATAGAAAGCCATTCTTTCTGTAATATGGGAGCAGCTATAATATGGGCATCCCCAGTACATAGAATAATTGGGAGTCAAGGGCTAGAAGTGGAAATGGTCTCAGTTACAGTTTCTCCTAGGAACTCACTTGGGTAATTTGTGCTTTCTGACCTAACAACTTTGGTCTGTATAATTCTAGATGTCCTAGTTTCCAGAAGGAAATCATTTCCATCTCAGGATACAGAATGTTAAGCCATAAGCACTACCTGATCACATTAGGTTCTTCACACCAACAGATGAACAGTAAAGAAAGGGGTCATGATCAGTGGCAAGGTTAGTTTTCACGTATCATCAGTCACTGGTGGAGCTGCTGCACACATGGGGCAGGGGAGACTAGGTTTGGGTCCAAGTGACCTGTGCCAAGCTTTAACTGTCAGTGGATATATGGAGCAGCCACAGCCTGAGAGGAGCATATTACCTAGGACATGCTAACAGGCAGGGCCTCCAGACCAGCAGAGGTGCTTTACAGGGAGAGAGGGGACCTGGAATGTATATGGTGGAGGAAGGAAAGAAAGTTTCAATTTAACCTTGAGATCAACTGCAGTATTGGTATTACAGCAGTACACTCACTCTTCCCTGTGAGTCTCCCAGGAAATGAGACTGACCAGAATCCCAGAAGACCAATTTCTAGCAGATGTGAATTTCCTATATGAAACAAGTGGATCCAGCAGAACAAGGGGTGGACTGTGACAAATTCTGTGGCATTCCACACAAAGACTCCATTATCCAAGCCTCTACTATTCAGATGCTGGGAATCCTGGCTGCTGATGGTACAGATCTGAGTAACCCTTTTGGAATTCTTCACAAAGGTCTGGTGCTCTTGCCTCACCTGGAGACAACAGGATGGGCAACTCTAACTCCAGATGGTCAGCAGATGCCTGAGTTGCATGCTCACTGTGGGACATCTAACGTACTTCTCTTCCAAGTAGGGACAGCTCTCAAGTTCTCTTCTTGATGGTCTTCTTACCTCAATTTTGCCTGTAAAATTCGAAGGCAATTACTTCACAAGAGAGAGCTAAACATTTCTGTGATTTGCAGCATCATGCCTCTCACATTGTCTCCTTTGAAAAAGTTTCAGAAACTGCATATAAAATTATCCAAATATAAAATTTTGAATGTAATATCTTGTAAGCTTTATATGCGTTTTAAAATTTAGAGTTTAAAATTTACTGAATGGTGTTTCAGGAAATGCATGTAAAAAAACCATAAAAGATAAAGAAAACAATTTTTTATCTTAATAATAGCAAGACTCTTGCTGTCACTTTTACATATCAGAGCTCTGGTTGACAAATAGCACATGCTTAAAACTATATATATATTTATATATATATTTATATATATATTCATATATATTTATATATAAAT